GTATGATGCTTCGCAAAGATTTTCATTTGAGGAGTATGGTTAGCATCAGTAGCGTTCTTTTGCCCACCAGATTTGATTCAAGCGATTTTGCTTCGTTCTTTCTGATGCCACGAGTTACCAGCGGTATTCTGAGTGGTAGTTTCCAGCCAGCTTGATACGTATATGAAACACTTTGAGCATGTCGATTCAGTTGATGTCGTTTGCGAATTGTGTGTAATTCATTTTAAGAAACATTCGAAGGAACTAATTGGCTCTCTTGCCTGAAGCAATTTTATGTTGTTACCACAAAATTGCACTGACCTAATCAGTTTCTGATAAGAATTTCTAGAAGCGAGATATTGAACATCTCATTTTATCAGTGCAGCTAGCCGAAATGAAAAGAGTTAGTCAAGAATGTAGAAAGTCATATCAGTGAATTGATAACGATCATATCAGTTCATTCGGGCTACTAAACAAACATCTTCTTCCGTTCAGTAATAGTCGTCGACAGTTCCTGATGAAGATCATTCTACTCGAATCTTACACCGTTTACAGTGTAATTGAATGTCAGTTCGGAAGGAAAATCTAAATATAATATTAGGCATGTTTCGGCGATACTTTTTATAATGAGTGTGGGAAGAATCTAATACATTGATTTACCAGATTTGGATATATGTAGATTGCGCTTAGAATCACGTCAAGGTTTCGGCTTGAGATAAACACAACTTGCTCATTCTAATTTGTGATCAGATGAAGTTTTAAAATTCGGTTGATAGCGACATAGTAGCGTCGATATTGTGTATTTGTTTGAAAGTTATATGAATATGGATTACTCTGTCGCAATTGCAGCTGAACATACGTAAATGTTGGCCATTTTTCTTTTCTCTTACGAACGTCAAATAAAACGGTCGTCTGCCTGCATTCCAAATCGCAGTTTACTCGCTGAACCATTATGCGCTCATGTGTTTCTTCTAATAGAAATAAACCAGCGAATGCTTCATTATCAGTTTCATTAGCTTCACCAAAATCCTTCATTCTTATGTCTTATATGGCATCTAGTTGCATCTTGCCAGCGCTACTCCACTATTGTATACCTGAATAGGTGATTCGCGTTTAGAGGTAGATGTGTGATTCATGCAGAACTTCACAATGCATCTGTTTTCCATCAAGTGAAGTTTTATCGTTCAAGATTCATTGCAGCTTGCAATCAGCAGTTGACTGTCTATCGCTTTTTGCTTGTGTGAGCGACTCTGATCTCGTAACTGATTTTCATCTCTTACGCCGTTTCACTACCAAATGCTTAAATAGTATCACTTTGTACTCAATCATTCATCGTAAAAGTTTCATATATTCGACACCTTCAGTTGTCAGTGACGCAGATCTCTAATTGTAAGTACGAATGAAAGTGGTCAACTGCTCTAGCGTGCTTTCATATCCTCATCCTCTGAAGAATTCTTTTTCTCATTGTCCCTCATAAAATGATATTTAAAAAAAATTTTTTTTCTAGTGGTTTTACTAAAATCTCGGAACTAATCCATATGCAACAGCTAAATTTAATCAGATTGAGGCCGTAAATTTCTTCTGATGATACTTTACGAATAAAGAAACCGTTAAATGTAATTCCATGCAAAATTCTATGTGATAACAATCATAAGGACCATTTTCGTTCAATTCAATATATATTTGCATACATACACTGCCACGAATAACGCTGGTTTAGTGAGCGGTCATGTATTTACATCATTGAATGAGATTAGTACAAATTTCAGTTTAAAACTGACGTTTTCACGCTCTTCTTTTCCAAACTGTTGTTCGTCAAAGCTTTAGAGCGATTTGACTATCGAACTATCGCAATCAACACTTCTATGGAGCAAGCATGTTCAACAAAGCGTCATTTAGTTCTATTTCATCAATAAATGATCCTCTGAATTCACTCAAAAAGTGCATGAATAAGTCAAATCAGATAAGCTAGGAATACGAATCTCTTTTTTTTGTTCTAATCCTTAAGCTTGTTTATAATAAAAAGTTTCGCGTTCTGTTCACAGATTGAATTTGTTAGTTGAAGAAAAACACTAGCAAACAAATGATGAACCGAGAAATTTAGGAGCGATTAAAGAGACCAATGTATGATGAAACAATGGTAGCTTACTGCAAAATTTGGTGTGAACACTTCATAGATTAATAATTAAATGGAAATGTCGTGAGAAGGGTTTTTTCATACACTATTTCAAAATGCAAATGTACATTAATTCAAACTGTGTTCATTTTGTGCATAATTGTTCGTTGACAAAGCCTATGATTGATTATTGTAGTTTTATTAATCACCATTCTATTCTTCAACCTCATCTTTTTTCCAGACTAAACGAATAAGTTAGTGTAGACCTTCTACTAGCGTTTTTCTTGTCTATCAGTTCAACTTGTTCTTTTTTCTCTTGGTATTTGAAAAAAATTTCTTCCATTTCCATGTCAGAAACCAAAATTGTGCAAAATATTGAACAATGAATCAATCGTAGTTAGCGTGAAAAGCCGATATAAGTAATATCGAAATATGAGCGAGCCGATTTGATGGTAGCACAAGATGGGATAGCAGTGTACTAGTGTGCGTACTGTATTTGGACGTCTGAAGAGCACAAAGAACGATTCTACTTCCGTGCAAAATCATTGCTGAATTTGAATTCTTTGCATAGACAAATTTGTCAAATAAAGGGGATCTGGAGAGGGCTCAATTTCGATGGTCTCATAGTGAACAGTAATCGCTGTTTGACCTTAAACAACCAATTTTCTTGTGAGTTAGCATAATCAAGTCGATGCATTAATATATTATATATGCCTTTCTACATTGGCTCATTGCAAGAGAAACTCAAATGCCTTATGGGAAGAAAAAAATTTTTACGCCTAAGCTGAGGCATGTAAAAATGAAATTTCATTGAGAGTTGTAAATTCGTATGTATTCAGCACTTCGAACGGAACGAAACAAATGTTTCAGCAGCATAAAATGATAGTTTATTTGTTAAGTTGTACACTTCTGTCGAATATTCATCTAATTGTTCACAGGTTTCTACTTGTTTTCGTTTCCGGTTTAAGAAAAGACATAATAATTACGAAGGCATAATTTAAGACATAATTGTCTTTTTCTAAGACATAATTACGTCACTGGCTCCATTCATTTGAATGTAGAAACGTAAATATAGACGTGTACATTCCATTCGCTGATATTTGTATCATTCATTAACTCCGAATGGTTCGATTGCCTCCGATGGCAGTGATAATAATAACTATCAACACAGTTTCTCTTTGACCAACAGGTGTATTTTCCACCTCTCTCGAGGAGGGTTATATTGAAGGTTGTGAAGGGAGAAATGTCACTCAAATCTTTACGAACGATAAAGAGACCGCTGGACACAAGAAACACGCAAATAAAGATACTGATTAGTTAATTTATTTCAAATCAGCTTGGAGAACTGTTTCAAGCTCATTCTCGGCAGAAAATCACGTATTCTTGCATGAATTGAGTATAAGAGTGAACGAAATTCTATTCGGGAAGAGGCTTCACTGGGAGAGAGAAATCACTGAGTTGTAGAAATTATTTGAGACAAGATGGTATACAATCATCATTTTAGTGATTACTATTCTCCTGTTATAATTGCAGTTCATCGGAGTTTCAGCTTATATTGTTTTTAATATCGTTTTACTGTTTTTGCAAGAATACTCTCATCGCGCCAAATTTTGCTTATTTCGTATCAAATTCTGATGAACACCTACTTGCTCGATGTTGCAGTGCTTTATAATAAGTGGAAAGTGTAGAGAGTAAAGGTAAACTTTGGATACGTTTGCATAATCACGTTAGAAATTTCTGATTGTGTGAATTCAACTAGCACAGATTTGTTCATTGTGCGCAATTGACCAATAAGTTTTGAAGTTTGCTCGACATATCAGTTCTAATCATTTCCGATTTGAATCGCACCAACGAAGCTATAAATCACCTATGGAAGTGCATGTATTATTTCTGTTCATACAAGTCTGCGATAGCAAACAACTATGGGTTCATTAGAGTTCAATGTAGAAGGGCTGAAATTTATCATGAAAAGGTTATATTCGTCGAAGAATCAGTTTGTGATTCGATTCCTCGCCATGCTGTTTTTTTTTTCAGGTTTTGAGGTTGTGACTTGTCGAATTACGGATTAAAGGTTAAACAGAGTGCAACATTCAAATCAAACGTCACAATGGAAGCTGATTTTTTTTCGCTTTTTATGTAGCAGTACATTGTTGACTGATCATTATTGCAGCGATCACTCTGTTTGCTGATAACGTGTACGATGATCGTTGTTTGTTACCAGTGTTTCGGTATAAGATCAAGATCTGACACTCTTTTTTGCTCTTAAGTTTGAAAGGGTGGGCGTATGTAAAAGTTGAACAGATATGACGTGCTTTCTACAGATAACATTATCATACATCAACTTCTCTCGCATCGTCATTATCTTCCTAAGGCTCTATTTTATCCACTACGCTTCCAATTTTAAAGTTGTTCATTCAAGATGATGAGAGGTGATTCGGTGAGCTTTTGAGCGCTTGCGAGTAGCAACTATAAACGTTCAGGAAAGTAATGCTTCCGCATAATAGTATTCAGCGAATATATATTTGAAGCGCGATTATACACTCGCAACTAAGGCTAACGTTGCCCGCAATGATCCACTGTAAGAATTCCTACATGGATTTCGGAAAATTTTAAGCTGTTCGAAGGGAACATATGATTCTTGTTCTACTTTCAAATAAACTTAGTTGAATAATTGTATCGTTCATGATTTTTTCTACATCGTGATAATAAAATGAATTGAATCGCATCATTGAATGTACTCGTTTTGATGATCACATTAAATTCATTCCAGGATCTTATCCGTGTCTCAACTAACTGGTAGCAATATTTATTCTGCATTAATTTTGTGTTTTTTTAAACCTAACTTCAAGTTCGAATACATTCGCCTTGTTCGTATATATATGTATACATATATATTCTCCATCATATGAGCTCTACGGAAAACTTCTTGCGGGTGCCCAGCAAGACCACCCATAATGCTTCTGGGAAAGAAATAGACGATGATGAAACGAAACTGAGTTCGAGAGTTACCTTCAGTCAAGAATCTGTTGGCATCGAGCAAAGGTTTGTGCATGTTGAAGTCAGTTATTTTTTGACTGTGGTCTTACCACTTAGCTGTTATTTTTGCCATGATTGCCTATGTCTTAGGCGAAGCTTTTTACAGAGTTAATTCAGTTAAGTTCGGTGCTACTTATCTGTAGCCGATTATTGGACGATTTGCAGGAGTGTTATTGAATACGATAATAAGCTTGCTTATAGCCATGACTTTGACCTATCATTAAGGTGTGTCTGATGAGAGAATACTCGAACGTCGGCTGCATTTGATCAGTTGGAGTAAATAATTCATGTGGTTTTTTTAGTGATTCGGGTGAGGTTGATAAGCTAAATGGCGACCTATTCACTGAATATCGTGAAGTTCTCGCCAATGAGGATAAACGAGAGGGTTGGGATAACAAGATGCAATTCTGCATGGGTGTGATCTCTTATGCTGTTGGACTGGGCAATGTTTGGCGATTTCCATACTTATGTCAGAAGAATGGCGGAGGTATTGTGTGCGCCATTTTGTATAATTCTATTTCAATGTTCTTCTATTTGTCCTCCTTCGGATTCTCATATGGAATAGTGAATTTTTCTATCCTAGTCGAAAATTTATTTTTGTATTAACTGTTATGGTTTTTTTGAGTTATCTGAATTGGTGTAAGATCAGTGACGCTAACGGAATAAAACTGTCGTTTAGGAGCATTTCTGGTACCGTATATTATTATGATGGTGGTCGAAGGAATGCCGCTGTTCCTTATTGAATTGGGAATTGGACAAAGATTACAAACCGGTCCTGTAGGCGTTTGGAATGCAATCCATCCTTACCTTGGAGGTCTGTTTCAAATTTTACACTTATCTTTTTTCATTTCTACTGATGGAACTAATAATTGTTTTTTGTGAAAAAATTTATGAATCTGAAGGACATGTAAAATATTGAATAATGATTTCGAAATGAAGCAGATATAAAAGGTACCTTGATATTATCGTTTCTTGAAGTACACTGTATGCCACAAATGAAGTTTCTTCAGGAGTTGGGGTTTCAGCAGCAATTGTCTCATTCCTTGTAGCACTCTATTACAATGTCATTATCACATGGTGTATTTATTACTTGTTCAATTCATTTACATCAGAGTTGCCTTGGAGCGTAAGTCAAATATTATTTAACCTCTTTAGTCAACATTATCATTCCATTTATCACATCATTCAGTTTTACAATATTCTAGCTATTCAAATTTTTCTCATTCGACGTTCATGAAATTAGAAACAAATTCATTTTCAAAATATCTCGCGAATTTTTGCTTCTTAATATCAGCTCTTTGCAGACGTGTCCTGTTGAGAATGGCACCATTGTAAGAGAGTGTGCCCTGGCTAAATCTAAGCCAAGTTTCTTTTGGAATCGACAAGCGACAGAAACGAGCGAGTCAGTTAAACCTCTTTCGACAACATTTTCTTAAATTATCGACTAACACTTCTATCATTATCTCTGTGCGAATTCATTCAAGAGAACAATGGATTGTTACATTTCGTACACCTTTTTATAGATCGATCGGTGAGTTTGAGGGGTTTGTTTACCACGTAACAATCTCGTTAGTGGTTGCGTGGTTTCTCATATATCTGTGTGTAATGCGTGGCATTAAGAGCAGTGGAAAGGTAAGAAAACAGTAATGTGCCGTTTTTTTGTTACCTTTTTCGATGGCCACTTTTTGAATCTGTCCAATGTTTCGCTCCCTCTTCAGCTTTGAAATGTAGGCGATTGCACTTGGAAGAATACTGAAACGAATCAAAGATTATTCGATAAAATCACTAGTTAATTGCAGGTAATGTACATAACTGCAACGTTTCCCTATTTAGTAACAACAATCTTTCTTATACGATCAATTATGTTGGATGGTGCGACACGTGGTCTGAAATATATGCTCACTCCAGATGTAAGTTGATTTGTTTGAGGATTTGGTAATTTTTTAGTAGTTCTTAATTTTGCACTTTCATTCTTATCAATTCAACTTCTTCATCAACATTTGTCAGCTCCTGTCATTGCCGATCAGGCGAGTGAATGAAAGTGATTTTGATTTCCATACAAAAGTATTTTTACTGAGGTCGCACTCGTTATGTTGTTTGAGACAGTCAATAAAATGCCATTTTCTTGTCGCATCAGTAGCTGTCAACTATTTTAGTTGACTCGGCTCGTGGATCCAAATGTATGGTTGGAAGCGGCCACTCAAGTTTTTTACAGTATGGGACTTGGATTCGGCGGTAAAATCATATCGAATCTCAATACAATACCTGATAATGAAATCTTACAGAAATTTTCGAATTCTATCCTTCGTATGTAGCTCATCAAAATGCGCTAACGTTGCGTGGAAATAGCAGCATCTTATGGTATATTAAGGAAGTGATCAACTTTCGAGCGAAATATATCACTGCATGTGAATATTCACTTGAAAAAAATTATTTGATGAATGGTTGTGTTTTTCAGGGTTGATAGCGTTTGCGTCATATAATCCAATGAAGAATAACTGCAAAAAAGATTGTGTTGTATTGTCGTTTTGTAATTTGCTCACATCACTCTATACGGCTCTTGTAGTTTTTTGTGTTTTGGGATACATGGGTAACACTAATTATCACACTTGTTTGGACAGGTAATTGCTTTTTGTAGTGCTTGATTCGTATGGTTTATTGAAATGAAATCACTAATTGAATGCACGCATTGGATACCTCTCGTTATTTGCACTCACTAACTAGTTTAGTTTACATTAGTAGCTCATGTTACATTTTCTGTTCTGTTTATCCATTAATAAATTGAAGAGATATGGAAATGATCCTCGAATTCTATCCTGGTCGATTCGCAAACCTAGGCGAGATCAAAGGAAATATAACGGATGATGAATGGATTCAATGGATGCAAAACAATTTTCATATGACTGAATTTAGTCGACTTGCGAATCATACGCAACATTGTGATTTTCATGAAATTATCTCCCAGGTTGTTGAGAATTTTAAACTGTATGTTGAATTCTATTGAACTGTTGAACTCTCCTGAGAAGGGAATTTGAGCGTGTAGCAACAGAAATTGCAACTATCGGAATTGAATTTTTTGTGTAAGTGAATCGATAAAATTATTTATTTTGTTTACTCACATTCTGAATGTTGGAACAGTGAATATGAGATGCTATTATGAAAGTTGTCTGATTCATCTGATATCTAGAGAAATGCTAGTATGATTTTAAAAAAGCTCCAGATCTGTACTTGCTCACAATCGATAAGTAAAGTTAGCGTTCACATCAAAATGTATGTAATATATGACCATCTTTCTCGATGGTGAATGAAACATGAACGAAGCAAGCGCGACTTCGCTTCGAAATATATGGAAGACCAGAATTGTCGCAAAGTATGTTGAGAGATTAAACGAGAAAATTTTAAGGCAGCTGAGGGTACGGGTCTTGCGTTCGTCGTGTTCACTGAAGCCATACTACAGTTTCCGTTTCCACCGGTGTGGGCAGTGATGTTCTTCTTGATGCTTCTCATGCTTGGTCTTGGTTCCATGTTCGGCACTCTCGAAGGAGTAATCACATCGCTTAATGACAGCAATCTTATAACCCTCAAAAAACCTGTCTTCACAGCTGTCCTCTGCTCAGTGGCGTGCGTTGTCGGGCTTGTTTTCACAACGCATGCTGGACAGGTAGAAATGTCATATTCTTTCAGTTGAATGTTCGAATAATCATTCCGCAAAGTCTTTTGTCTTAAATTATCAAAAAATCTCACGCTTCAATACTTTTGAAATTGAATGAATAAATTGCTTCGCCATTGAAGGCGCAGTAATTTTTTTTTGGAAAAATGTGTTTTGAAAAAACAGTTCGTCAACATAAATCAGCTTTCCGTATGATAAAGTTTCGTGATTGTTTCGCGATCGTTTTTTGTTTTTGTTATTTTGCTATATAAGATTCGTTGTGTTGGAACAATAACTGTACTCATTTCAATAGTGTATTCAATAGTACAATCGTGCATTCCACGATACACAAAACAAAAATGTTGTAAAGCATTTAGAAAGTTGTAAAGCTGTGCATTAATGAAACTTTTTTGTGACTTTTCCTTTGAGATTTTTGTTTAAGTTCATACAAGACTTAACGATTCCTAAAAAAAACGATTCCTTTCAGTTTTGGGTTTCCCTATTCGATCACTTCGCGGGCTCATATGCACTAATGGCAGTGGCTTTCTTCGAAGTGTTCGCGGTCATTTATGTTTACGGATGGAGACGGTAATCTGTTTATGTTTTTCGTCTACAGCAGTAGTTTTCACCTTATCCCGCTTCGTGTCCTCCCTTGGCCTTATAGTAGGCCCCTGTTCTCCACATGCAACAATCTATGTGATGTCAATCCCTTTACTCTCTTCACCAATTTGATCACTGCTTAACAATACATCGGACGGAAATCGAAAGATTAATTCAATGATCAAGAAGTTTGCTCTTACTGTTAGGAATTCGTCATCACTTCGTTGTGACCGAACAAACATTTCCACAAATATTGTCGAAAATCATCGAGAATGTTTGAAGAAAAATCAGTTGATAATAATTTACCAATCTACTCAAAGCCACCTTCAATACCCTTGAATTCTTTTCAAAAAAGCGCTCCCCATCACGCCCCCCCACCTCCCGCCAACCACTGGTATATAGAATGTTTATCGCATATTTTCAATTACGACCAACGCATCTGTACTTTCGAATCTTTAACATATCTGTCAGCACGTCATGCAGATGATCTTAACGATAGCGTTACTTATATTTATAGTTTCGTACGAGATCTGGAATTTATGACTGATCAAAGTGTATCTAAATTTTGGACTATTACATGGCGCTTCATTTCGCCTGTGTTCATGTTTGTTCTCTTCTTTGCATCCCTCGCCCAATCGTTCAAAAAGTTGCCCACGTATTTCGCCTATAACAAAGAGCAAGTTAGTTGTTGCCCCATTATTTCACTCGTGTATACTACCATCTTACTTGTATCTATCATGTGCATACACTCATGAATTTTCATTTTTGTAAATGTTTACCTTTGACAAAGTTGACGAATTTGTGTGAATTTATTTGGAAAAATTTTACATAATTTAATCTGTTAAATGAGAGTACCTTTTAAAGCATACCTTTTGAAGCTTGTTGACTGAGAATAAATGTGGTAAACCAGACGCAAAAAGCATTTGTTGTTTAAGGCTCGTCAAGTAGCAACACCGTATCCACCATGGGCACTTTTCATCGCATTTTCGATGGTTGCTTTCGCAATGGCGCCAGTACCAGTCGTTTGGTTCATAAGAAAGTTCAAAATATGGAAGGTTGAAATGGATATACCAGCGGTATGTTCTTTCGTTGCTTCATTATTCTTTCGTTCAATTGATAGATAGTGGTAACTCTTCTTCCTTTGCTCAATTCTGTTCGTTGTTCACAAATTTGAATAGTCGAAGGCATCTCATTTTAAAGTGCACTATTTCTGATACTTATTGTAAGTTACAGATTACTCACAGCTATTCAACACCACAAGCAAATAGCTGCACGAGAATTTTTTTAGGCTTTTATAAACTTTTCATTATTTTAGTGAAGGAAAACTGTAATATTTTAGAGTGGACAATCAGTATATGTAAATAAAGCATCGACACAGCTGCAATTTCCACATCGCTTCGAAAATGAGGCCTACGATAGCCATATAGCCTTTCGGAAACATGCAGTAATTACTCGGAGGCATTCCGCTTGAATAAGGCTGAGACTCAGACGTAGATTACTTTTAGGGTTTCGTTTCAGACCGGTACTTTGGTTAAGAGGAACTTTTTTAGGTTACCTATAAAACATAACTAGATTGAGACGTGGAACTTATCCACAACATACTGTTTCAAAGTTCGCAATGTCAATTGAAGCAAACCATACGTAATTCATTCCACAGTGAAGACGATAAAGGAGTTAAAAGGGAATTATGAGTTTTCTTGTAGTTTTCTTGTATTTCAAGCAGCGGCCAGATATGTCTGGTGGATCTCAGCTAATTCCCAGTACATTCTGTTAAAATGAAGATAATTTGGTTTGCAGGCACAGAAATGCCTAGGATCCACGCCAAGTACAACGTTCATGCTTAAGTCGCAGCAGTCTTTCAACAGAATGGCTGAATCAACAGCTTCTGAACTTCAGTCAATTGGTGTCACAAATCTGAGTAGTTAGTCAATAGCGAATTTTTGATAAATGTGACCAGAATTGAGAGAGGCGTTATTGAAATGAAGACGTGCCACTATCAACGAACAGCTATGCTTCTGACGACAACTTTTGTTTGCTGTGGACGTTACAGCCGACCGACATTGTTTAGTTTTATGCGTACGTTTAATAGCTGATCTCAATTTTGGTCAAACTTCATAATCAATTCACATAAATGCACCGAACTTTTACACTCATTGTCAATTTTGTTAGCAATACACGATAACTGTATATTTTTAAACTATTCAATATAACGGACAGTTGTTTGGAGCGCTCTACAGAGAATCATTTTCAAATATCTGGCCCTCGATTTGCCCTAAATGCTCACTGTAGTTCTTATTATGCACTCTCTCGAAGAACAGCAATCCTTATCTTGTTTCTTCTTCAACCATCGTAACACTGATGATATCGAATCGCACTTCTTTCAATTATGTGCTATACAATTCTATTTCAATTATTACTTGTTATCTTTGATCTTATTGTACATAAAAGACTGGAACAGCAGCTATACACTAGTTTTTACATGTGATCATACAGTTTTAAAATGGAAAAAAAAGGTGTTCCTGTGTATTCAGTGAAAAGTTATATATTGATGACTATCTTAACTCTAAGTCGGTGGTTCTCAACCTTTCCTCACCCCTGCACCTCCTAGAAAATTTCAAGGTGTTTTTGCACTCCCTACAACAGCAGTTAAAATGACCTCGCGCTTCTCACAACATCCACTCTGTATCTCTCATCCACTACGGTGAGTATCTGTTGTGTAGATAAGTGTGTACCGTTAGAATATGTTCTGGCCTTCTCAAAAATATCTGCGTTAAAGTCCGTCCACCTTGCCTATATAAAATAAAAAAAACTTAATATATAAAAATGAAACTCCTTTTCGCACCTCCTGGAATGCGATGTCGCACCCGTTGGGGTACGAGCACCCCGGTTGACAAACCCCGCTCTAAGCATTCAAGTAAGTATCTGTCGCATTTAGGTCAAGTAGATTACGAATGTGCATGGCTGTTTTCTGATATCGTTTGATTACGTTTTGCATTGCTCGTACATATTTGACAGCCTTAGTTCCAAAGACTTAATCTATCCATTTAATCAAGTATAAATATTTTGATGTTCAAATTAATGAATGGCTTGATCACTGTCGCAGTCATTTCAAATTTTATCAGCTTTGATGTCATCCCTCTATTTCTGGTGTCCTCAACCACACATGCGTCTTCACTTGCTGTTTTAATCCGTCTTATCCTTCAAAAAAAAAAACATCATTTTCGAAGAAAAATTGAGTGAATGTCCTCGCGATAATAAGCCATTCATCATCGAAGTGCCGTAGTGTTCGATAAACGCCTGTTCGTCGAAAAATTAATGTACGATTCTTATGTTAAGTGGTGCATGAAAGAACTTTCTTCGATACGTCCAGTGGGATATGGCTTGGTAAAGGAAGTAAACGAAATAACCTTTATCAATAAAAGTGCGGACCGAAGAAGTTTTATGCTATTTGTGTACACCACTTTACATAAACAAATATAAATATTGAATATTTATTTTTCACAATAATAACAGACTATTGTATGTATGAAATTTATTTTTCGAATATATCTTGCTAGGTTGTGCAGGCGATTTACGGTTGTTGAAAAATATTACTGATGTGAAGTAAGACGAGTACTGCGATTCGGAGACAACTTCAATCGTACTGATGTTCCTCAGAAACTTTCAAACGGGGTCTAATAAGAATTCGTTGTTTGGATATGAATTTACGTCAGTGCAATCCAATTAACCATTTGCGTTGGTTTGTTTGAGTAGGCGATTGTATGTGGATTGCTTTTCCTGGATGGGATAAAAAGTAGACAATTCAGTATGAAAATTAAACCTTTTTAGTTCAGTCCGCTTCTGATTAAATCCATGCCCAAGGAAATGAATACAGTGTATTTGTTTCTTATGTGCGCTGTGAGATTAATTAGATCAAATTCGTCCGTCGATTTTACGTGAAATATGAGCACTGCTCATTTTAATACTGTGAATAGCTTACAATTGGTTGGAATTTTGAGAACATCAAAATCGAATCGTTAAAGGTATCGTGTTCTCTTCGCAACATTCCCGGTTCTGTTTGTTTAATCGCTCACTGTACTAATCATGAGATTATCTATAGTAATATTTATATAGTTTCATTTAAGAATCATATTCATGTTATACCGATGAAAGAATTGAATTTATTTATCCTTAATTATGTTTTACATCTTTGTAATGATAATATTGTTTGTTTCTGGTTATATAT